CATACCTCTAGGTTTTAACCTTTTTTTCATCATTCATACTTCTAGCAAAAACAATTATGAAGATCGAGGCTCACTGGGGAGTTATCAAATGGCTTTATCTTCAACGATATAACAGCCCTAGATTGGATCTTATGTTTTGGACACTGTTTAACGAAGTAATTCTATCACAGAAAAATCGGTTATTGCAGCTCATAAATGGTACAGTAAATCTATATTGGTGGGAGGATTTCAAGAGAAAGTGGGAGTATGCAGGTGCAAGTGAGGAAAAAAAAAAAGAAATCGTTCAAAGAGAAAGGGTAAGAAAAAGCGTACCAATACTGTAACAATTAAATTAGCCAATTCAGTTGGTTCGCACTTTACTCAGATCTCTCGTTGGATCTGTAGTTGTCCAGCCTTTGTTGAAAATCACTTTTTAATATGTAAACACTTAGTAAGGCAAGCTATGAATATGCCTGATAGTACGTGGCGATGGTTGCTTAAAGACAATTTTGAACATCGAACTACTCCTCCCTTTTTAGTTATAAAAGATCTTAATAGTGATGAGTTGCAGAAAGTATCTCATCTATAATAGTTGCACCTATTGATATCCGGAGTATGTTAATGTTGATGATCTTGACAATCCTGATGATGATGCCCGTTTTTATGTGAAAGAGAATTGGCACTTATTTGAACAAGTAGTAAACGAATCCGTACCAAGAAAATGGCTAATAATTGGCGCCATATTCAAGCAATGATGGAGTGGAGCCGATTAGTAAAGATGGAAGAAGATATACAATCTGTTGAAAGAAAGAGGCTATAGGGCTAGCAATGCCAGGCAAAAAAATTTCGCTCTTATTTGAAACCAATAAAAAAATTTTCGCTAAGAAAAGAAGTTTCGCGGTTAGGTTAGGGGTAGGTCTTACTAAAAGGTTGGGTTTAGAGAGTTATAGTTATACCAAAATTTTGCAAGGAAAACTTTTTGTTAGTGCGCAGAAGGCAGTTTAATAGGTTAAATTTTGAGTTATGAGCGATTTTTAATAAAACAAATGTTTGTTTTGAATTTTCCTGATCGTGCAACATTACACCTAATCTTGAAATTTGATTGGCCTGCGAAATTTTTTAGACTGGCATTTTAAACACTGTTGAAAGAGGCAAAGATAAGCCACTTGGGCTCTAAGTAAAAAGCCATATCTCATGTACTTACCATGCTCGAATAATTCAGGAATGACAGAGGACGTTACGAATAATGATACAGATTTAATTTAATAATTGTAATATAATAAGTTTAATTTAATAATATTGTTAATTTATATTTGTAAAACAAAAAAAACAATTCATATACATCAAAGAACATAATAAACTTCAACTTACCAAGTAAAAATAACCTAAATAATATAATTTATAATAAATACAGTCTCTAACGAACTGAAGATTCTAAAAGAAAAAAAGTTCGTAATTAGTTGGATTACGTAACACTGATGAACGTAATCCAACTAATTAGAATTTGTAAAACTAAAAAATATAAATACCATAAACAACCAAATACCAAAGAAAAAAATAATTTAATTTTAAAATAAGAAATTAATTACTGTAGAGAATTTAAGAATAAACACACACAACATAAATTTTATGAAATACAACAAAAAACTGTTTTTTTAAAAAAATCACATGGATTTAGAAAAAAAAAATAAATTTCCGAGCTTCTATAAACTTGCTGAAATTTTTCTCGATGAACAAAAATGCATAGAATATCTTTTTGAAAAGGAAATTTTTAAAAAACCGACTAAATGTTTAATTTGTGGATACAGAATTTTTTATTTTGTTTCGACTCGAAAAATTTTTAATTGTGCAAATTGCATGAAAAAGACAATTTTGGTTTATAAAAACACTATTTTTTATAATTGTAAACTAAAATGTAATCAAATTTTATTCATTGGATATTTTTGGCTCATTAAGGCGAGATATACTACAATTCAATTATTTATAGGACATGATCGTAGAACTATTATTAGATTTATGTATTTATTTAGAAATATTGTAACTGCTAGTTTAGTAAAAGATAACACAATCATCGGAGGCAAAAACATAATTGTAGAAATTGATGAATCTAAATTTAAAGCTTATGATAATCATTGGGTTCTTGGAATCGTAGAAAGAACTAAACTAAGAAAATGTTTTTTTAAAATGATAAAAGATCGAAACTCTTATACATTAAAAAGATTAATCAAAACTCATATAAAACCTGGTTCAACTATATATACAGATTCATGGAAAGGATATAGTGATTTGGAAAATATGGGAATGGGATTTAAACACAGAAGAGTTAATCATAAAAAACCGAGTAAAAATCAAATTATAAAACGAATTCATACTCAGCGAATTGAAGGAACATGGAACGGTGTTAAAATGAACATTCTAAAAAGAGATAGAACTAAAGAAAAATTAGAAAAACATTTAAAAGAATTTGTATTTCGAAGAAAACATTCTGAAAATTTATGGGAAGGATTTATTTTAGCAATTAAAAATTACAATTCAAAATAAAATATAAATACTTCAAATTTTGTATTATTTTTATTAACAAAAAATGTCAAACTGGCAAAAGAAATTTAAAGACTTTGAAGTTTTATCTAGTTGGACTAAACTTCCAATTATTAAACCTCGAAAAAAATCTAATTCTTATCGAATTGTTGAAATTGATGCGACTTTATTTCTCGAAATCTCAACACAAAAACCAGAAATCACTTTTTTAACCGATCTTGATAATTTTCATTTATTAAAAAAATATACTTGGTTTTGTAATAAACAAAGAAATACACATTATATATGTACAAATAAAAATAATCAAAAAAATTTACGACTTCATCGAATGATTCATCCTGAATGGAAGATGATCGATCATATGAATCGTGATGGATGTGATAATCGGGAATGCAATCTTAGAGAAACAACACCGAGAGAAAATGCTTTAAATTGTAAATTATTTAAAACTAATACTTCAAAATATAATGGAATTGGTTTTGATAAATTTAGTAATCGTTGGGTATTTCAATATTATGAAAATAACAAACATAAAATAAAAAAATTTTGTATTACAAAGAATAGAACTAGCGAACAGGCAAAACAGTTAGCAATCGAGTACAAATTGGAGCATGATAAGAAAACAGGAAATAGAAATGGTTATAACGTTTAAATTAAAAGTATTCTAAATAACATATAAATATTTCATTTTAAAATAAAACTTCAATTGGTTTAATTTTAGAATTTTGACACGTCAATGATATAATAGGAAATAAAAACTATAAAAACATAAATTTCTTACTTTACTTCATATAAATAAAAATACATAAAATAACAAGAAATAAAAATGGATGCTGCTTTAGTTTTATCTCAAT